GATAATATGTGTTTATCTGCCAGTCTATAGGATTTCCTGGCAGAAGAATCTGTTTTCTTTTTCTTAGATTGTTATATTTATTTAGTTATAAAAGAAAGTGAACTTGTGATAGAACTACTTCTATTGACTGCACTGTTCTATCTGATTGAAGATGAGTATAATTACTAGCAGAGTCATATACTAGCTTATATAGCATGAAATAGAATTTATTATTTACAAATATATTATAGTTTGTATTATTCATAATTTATAAATATAACCTTAATTCAAAAAAATTCATATATAAGTTTATCAATTTTTTTTACTTTATTGTTGATAAATAGTTGTCAAATTTTTAATGAACCTTTAATAAATAATTTAATGAATAGTTATTGAATTTTTAATGAATTATTGATAAATTTTTAATGAATAGTTTTGATAAATAGTTGTCAAATTTTTAATGAATTATTAATAAATTAATACTGAATTTTTATTAAATTGTTAATAAATAATTTTATAATGAACTTTTGATAAATTTTTATCAAATTATTAATGAATTATTTGATAAATTGTTAATAAATTTTTTGATGAATTGTTAATATACTAATTTTTGTAATATTTATAGCTAAATTATATAGTTACTGATTTATTTATATCATTTTTTTGCTAAATTGTTTATTTTTTGCCAAATATTACATAAATAGCAATATACTGAATAATTTTTTTTTATTAGTAATAGTCCGTAAAACTTGAATATCACTTTAGATTTTGTAAATATTTAAACTTAAACTGATTTATTAGTTTAAGTTATTGATTGTGAAGTTTTTCTTAGTGTTTAAAAAAATATTAATCTGTATTAATCTAATTAAGAAATTTGAAAAGTTGATATTGAACTTTTAAGGACTTACTATTATTCAATTCTTCTTTTTCTTTTTTTCTTTCTAAAAAAAAAATTTAGATAGTAAAAGTTAATGATTTTATAAATACTTATTTCTTTTTATATTTTGAAAAATGTTTTTGAATTTTTTCTTATAGATTGTTAGATTATAAGGATAGTTTTTTTTTGTTTTTCTAATTGGTTTCTCTTTTTAATAAAAAATTATTAAAAAAAATTTTTTTCTAAAAAATTAAGAATTAATAAAAAAGTTTTTTATTTTTGAAAGTAATATATATAGTATATACAATATATATATTAAATATAACTTACTTTATTTTTTTTAACTTAAATTTTTTTAATTGCTAAAATTATTATTTATTAATTATTACTATAAATTATATATATTCAATTAATTAATAAACAATAGTTTGATTTAACTACTGTATATATTTTAATAAAAAACTCTTCTACTAATTCTTAGATCATATATAAAAAAGATGTTCGCAAGAAGTTTTTTGCTTCTTTACTAAAAAAGTCTTTATACTTTCCTTAAAACACCTTAAAGAGTGACTTCAAGAGTCATCTCTACCCCCCTTTACTTGTTTACAATCCTCTTTAATCACAAACTTGACTTTTGGTAATCAAGAATAAGTTAAGTAACATCTTTGATACCAATGGCAAGAAAGTTCCCAAAGGAAAAAGAACCAATAGTGAAGTATATGAAGGTCTTCTTCATCTTTGAACAAGATATATATAGAGGTTTTTGATGATAGAAGGGCTTATTTTTCCCCTTCTGGTCACTGTTGGGTCTCTTAGAACTATTACTTTTATGGTTTTTTGGGGAATTTTGCTTACCTCAGTTTAATCCTGAATTTTGGATAACATAAATCCTCACCAAAGGTGATTGGCTGACACGAAATACATTAGTTTTAGGAAAAGTAAACAAACTTCTATTGATTACACTTACGTATTCCTATCATATCATAGGTAATGTAGAAAAGAAAGTTCTAGAAGCAGTTTCTCTCCAACTGCATATATTCGACTCCAGGAAATAGTTATAATATCAAAAGGTAAAGTGAATCTACACAAAGAAATTCCATCCTTTCTTTAAGTTCCTTAAGTGATAAAAAGACTCCTTAAGATAAAAGCTGAGGTTTTTTAATTTTTCTTGGACTATTTCAATCTGATGTACACTTAAATAAAGACTTATCTTATACTATAGGTGGTGACAAAGAAGACTCCTTCTAAAGTCCAAATGAAGCAAAAAAGGATATTCCAACCAGATAAAATCTTTTTTGAGAAGAGGCTGTAAAATGAAAAAGAATTTTTTGGAGGGCTTTGAATTGTTTTTCGTTTTTCCCCTTCCCCAGTTCAACTTCAACAATTTATCGTTTTTCAGGATAATTGATAGTGACAAACTGTTGACAATAACCCTGATTAACTTAAAAATACTATACCAAACTACCAGAAGAGCATAATATTGTCCCCTAAATCTGATTTAGAGTACCTAGTTGAGACTTAGTTTTGTTTAGTCTGAACTAGCTTAGTGAACTCCTTATATTTTTTAAGTAGTGTAGTTCTTCAACCAATAATGTACAAAGACGAATTAGTTAATATGTGAGAAGGTCTATGGATTATTTTGATATTTTTTCAAGTATCTCAATAAAGACAAGCCATATTGGCATGATTGCGGGTTAAAAAAAAAAAAAAAGGTTTGATTTAACTATAGATATTATATAAATAGATCTAAAATTTTAACTTAAATTAAAATTCAAAATATAAAACTTCAAATTCTTTTAATATAAATTAAAATATAATGAAATTAAAATTTTAAATTAAAATTTTAAATTATTTTAATTAAATTAAACTTCTAAATCATTTTATTCTAAATATCTTGATCTAAAGTAATCTTTTGAATTATGTTAGCCTTTTAATTGTTTATTTATCTATAATTTTTTTATTTTTTCAATACTTTTTTTTTTTAATTAAAAAAATTTATTTCTTTTAAATATTTGATAATACCTAAAAATCTTTAATAAAAAATTTTTTTTACTTGAAATTTTTATATTTTAAAACTTTTTCAAGATCTATAATTGTTTTGAATATACTATTATAAAGTTTTTGTACTTGAATATAAAAGGTTTTCAAGAATATAATATACCTTAACTTTATGCTATTAATAAATATAAACCTCCAAAAAGTGACACGTAATCAAGGTAATAACTATGATAGGATTATTAATCATTGTCAGTCTGGTAATTATTCTTTCTTGATTTACTATATATGCATCGATAAAAGTTTCAGAAAAGTTTTTTCCGTAATTGACTTACCATTTTTTAAATAAACAATTGCAACCAATCATTCGATATGCCATAATATTATATAAGGATCAAAATTGGAATATTTTCACAAAAATAACTACGCAAAATGTCAACCCACAAGGAGCAACGTGTAATTTTAAATGTCGGAGGAATCAAGGTAATAAATAATATTATCGATATGCAAATTGAACATATCAATTTAATAAATTTCTCTTCACATAGTATGAAACCTATCGTTCAACGCTGACAGCATATCCAAGCACTATGCTTGGTACAATGTTTCAAGAGCGTAATAGTTCTTTACTTCATCCTACGGACGGTGTTAATGAATATTTCTTTGATAGAAATGGTCACGCATTCCGGTTCATAATAGAATTCTATCGTACGGGTAGAATTTTATGGGAAGATCCTTATACCACAGTTGGCGGATTAATAAATCCTACTAATGTCTCGCGAAATGAATTACATGAGGAAATTGAATATTTTCGTATTCCATGTGATATCAACGTCGACTATAAAAGATTAAAATTTAAAAAACGTCCAGCAGAGGTAATTGATGTATTCGTGAATGTGTTAGAATCGTTTATTGATCTTGCATTACAAGAATGGCACGGCGATGTAAAAATTTATTTGTATGAGGATGCCATCTCGTTCAAGGCTTTCCTGGATAACGAAGAAGTTTCGAATAATCATAGTTTTATTGATCAAAATAATTTTGGGGTATTTAAGAAGATGGGGTATCGAGTTTTGAAATCTTTTGCCAAGGATATTGCGAATTATTTTAAGAAGTTGATCCCGGGATTGGTTTGGGATTGTCATCACTTTGACAGGCAGATTCCTCAAGTTACATTACCCCATTTTTCTTTGAAAATTTCTTTTGGTGATCGATACTCAAAGGAATTATTGGAAAGTACAAATTTATACTCTAATTTAAAAATAATGGATAATGAAAATGATGAAAATTAATCATACTTGCGCGTGCATTGTTTTACGTAACTTGTGTAATATTTCTTACTAACAATTGAAATTAAAGAAAAAAATTTTTAAATAAAAATTAATTATAAAAATTGTTCTTGATTGACAATAATTTTTATTATAAAAATTTTATTAGTTGAAACTTTTATAATGATTCAAATATTAGAGAATATACATATACATTTTATTAATTAATATAATAAATAAATAATATTGATTATTATTATATTATTAATTTTTATAACCTTCTATTAGATTAATTGGATTTTATTAAACAATAGTAAACTATATATTGTATATAATATTTATATAATACTAAAGTTAAATATATACTAATTTATTTTGTTTTTATATATAACTTTAGTATTTTATTTATAGTTTAAAAAATTATAAAGTTAATATAAAATTACTTTATTAAATATTTAGTTATACAGTATATATACATTTTATATTTTGTTAGAATTTCTATTTTATTATTTTATTTAATATATCTATTAATATTAATTAATTCTATATATAATATTAAAAATAGTTTTTTGTTTCATCTATAATTTAAATAAATATCTTTTTAATTAAAGATATTATAATTTAATAGTTTAGATATAATATTAAAAATAATTTTTTGTTTCATCTATAATTTAAATTAAATATCTTTTCAATTAAAAATATTATAATTAATAATTTATTATTTTAAAAAATTTTTAATTGTTTAAATATATTTAAAATTTAATTATTTTTATTTATTAATAATTTAATTTTTTATAATTAATTTGATTTTTTCAAATATATTTTAAAGTTTTTTTTTATTTGTTTTATATTTTTTTATAAAATTTAATTTATAACTTAATGATTTTTTTTAAATTCTTATTATTATATTTTAATTAATAAATTTTAAAAAAATTTTTTTTTATACCTGTGGTCAGGTCAGTACTATGTATTTATTAATCAAAATGAAAACCAATAGAGATATATAGAACAATTGCATCATGACTAAACTAAAAGACTTGTACTAACACACTTGTTAATGGCTTTCAATTCTCAAAAGAGCTTCAACCTCTAAGTGCAACCTTGGAGACAATATTTCGCTCTGAACTAAGTTTTGAGTAATGACCCTTCTAACTTATCCATCATTGGCAGCAGGTTGTCACTGCTTATTATCTTACAAAGAACTGAATTCGAGAAACTATAAAAGGGAAAAGGAAAAATAAAATGAAGGGGAAATGTCTAAAAATATGCAAATGCATCCACAATTTCTATTTAATATTTTTTATGTTACATTCAACTCTTGAAGCTATCTCTCAAAAATCTTACAAGTTTACTTAGTAACTATACAGTATATTTCATTTATACCTCTTGTTTATTTGTATCTATATGTATAAACTACTTCTCTTTACTATGTGTACATTAAATAAGCACTATATATATCAACTATTCTTTAGTATCTATCTATATATAGCTAGTTATATTGATTATACTATATACAATATATAAGCACTATCTATTCGAAAAACTGTATGATTCCTTCTTGATTATTCCTAGCCCAATTTTATTAAGAGTAGGCTGATTATCAGGCTGTCCAATTTTCTTTATTCTGGATCTAGTTTTTGATCCTTCGGAGTAATCAGTAGATTTCTCCTTCTATCAAGGCCTCCTGATAGTGCTAACTATAGAAGTGCTCATAGCTTAGTACATGATAGTCAATGGTATCCTACCGATTGATTAGATCTACTCTTCTTATTACTATTTTCTAACTTACTACTAGGGATAATGTGATCAAGTCAGGATAATCCTAACTGATTTTGGATCTTAATCTTTAGATTACAATCTTTATATAAACTATATCACGAGTAACATTAGTCCCCTTCTAATTGTTATGTGACTATATGCAAAAATGTCAGAAGTCTCTTCTTTACTTGATTAAGTCAATGGATATAAGTTCTACCAAACTTCAGGCATTGCCCCCTAGAGGATCTGAACTTGTATCTTGTGATCTGATCTATGGAGTACTAACCACTGCACTATTAATCTATAGGTCATAATAAATTTAAAAAAATTTTTATTTATAATTATATATATATATATATATATTTTAATCCTCTGTTAGACCTGTGGGTTGATAACACAGTAATAGTGCTCCCAGATCAAATTCATAAAGTCCAGAGTTCAATACCATATGAGGACCAAATGAAAATTCAGTCACAAGGTAATACAACAATCTCATCCTCCATGATGATAATCAAGTGTTCCATAAGGCAATAAGGAGAAACCATACACTTATCATGTCTATAGTAAGAACGATAAATCAATACAAGGTTCTATATAAGGCTAGTATGAGTAACACAAGCTCTTCACATATAACTGATCTCAGATACCTGACAGAACAGTAAAGAAGGATCCTACCTGCTTATCATAACCATAACAAGATAAGATATATACAAAGTTTCACAAATATGGCCAAAATAGGTAGAGTGAGATTCCAGAAACACAAACAAGATTGTCCCTAAATAGAAAAAAAAGGATCCGATCACTCATAGAGCTGACCATAACAGGTCCATAACAAGTTAAAAATTCAGCCAGGTATAATACTGAATAAGAAACATAACAGGTTCTGCTACTCAAGACTATCAATTGAGAAATGGATATCCTTCACACAAGACCTGTACCTCAATCAAGTAATCAGACAGTACCAGAAACATAACAAGCCCCCAGAAAAAAATTTAAAGTGCTAACGGAGCCAATAGAATTCTGTATAAGAGATCCCTAATATCAGTAATGCTGGGCATCTTAGACGAGTTCCTAACGTGTTAGCTCCACCACAAGAGGATAGCAACAGAGTCATCTAGTGGACCATGGTACTAAGAAGTGTAAGTTTAGAGTATTTGAGGTAATAGATGGAATCACCTCATTAAATTTGAAGATAATAAGACTTTCTAATCCTTAGCTAAGTTAGAATTAAGAACACGTCCTATACTAGAGAATCATATAGTTACCTTATCCTGGTTGGGTAAGACATAAATAGATGCCCCTTGTACTATTCATTGATCTGTAAATCCTTAGACAGTATAGGTAATTACTCATTTGGTTGTTTCTAGGACTCATCTTAACTTTAATAAAGCTTCAGAACTGGCATATGAATGAGCTAGCCTTTAAAAATATATATACTATATATATATATATTTTAACCCTCTATTAGGCTAGTTATGTATACTTTATTAAACAATTGTAAGCTATACATTATATATGTGTTGTTAAAGCTAAATCTCCAATTAACTCACTTATCAAAGTCTTATATTTATCTAAAACTCTAAGTGCAACTTTGGGAGTAATTTATTACTTCATTAGTAATTCAGATAGAAACCCTTCCAACTTCTAACATCATCATCTGCAGGTTATTGCTATGGATTACTGCACGATGTTCTGACAAGGATCAAAACCCAACCACTTCATCCTATATTTAATCCTATTTCTTACAGTATAATTTCTACAAGGTTTTTGTTTTCACTCTCTTTTATTTCTTCTCTTTGCCTTGTGCTTTTGTAACTAGAATTATTTTGTGGATCTTGCCTTTTTGCTTCCCGGATCTTCTTATATTTTGCTCTTCTATCAATTATTTGTTCTTGTTCCTATTCAATAATCTTTTCATATCTCACATTCCAGACTTGTTTTCGGATCTGATTGCAAACTTTTTTTTATACTTTTAGAATCCATTTTTTTACCATTGTTTTCAGCTTCTTTCTATGACAGTTTAGATTAGCAGCTTCTTTGATTGCATCACTTTTTACTAATCCTGCACAAAAATTAAGAGTGCTTGAACCAGTTTGCAAGGTTGATTCTATTAGTCTGGAGGCCCATTTATTCAATTCACATTTTTCTCTTCTATTGTCGACTACTAGTTGTACTATTTTTTTATCTGCTTCCCTCTTACATTCTTGATACAACTTGTCAAATTCCTTAAGAAAAGTCATAGATTCTTTTTGCCATGCCACTAGAATCTCAATCTTATGACCAAAATATTCTAATAAGTGTTCTATTGTCTCTTAATACTGATTGTAAGCTATATATTTTGCTTGCTTGTATAGGTCTAGTATTTTTATTACTAGCTTGTTTAAGGTAGATAGTTCATTATTGATTAATTTAACTAAATAATTTCTTCTTTGTGAACTTTTGAAGAAGGTATTCTATGTATTTCTATCCTTTAACTTATTTTATACCAGATTACATGAGTAGATTTGATGCTTGTGAATTTGGTAATACCATTTTGTCTCTGTTCTGTATTGCTATGTCTATAATAGTACCATTGATCTTTTATTAATTTGTTTGATAAACTGTTGTATTGAACTGTCTATCACTTCTTCTTGTCATATAGTTTTTATGAGTATCTTGCTTGATTTGAGACTCTTCTATTTTATTGCTGGTAGCTTTAATGCCTCTTTGATTAGTCAGTCTGCTTCTTCATTTCATGAATTATTAAAGTGGGCTTTAACCTTGGTTAAAGTTAGTTGGATATGCTTTTTCTTTACAAGATCTAGCATTCACGCCCATAATAATCAATTTTTTTCTTTTAGCCATCTTTTGTGTGTTATCTTCAGATCTTCTTTCTCTAGCTTTTTCTATTTAGAGATGTAAACTTGACTATCTGTAAGGATCTCAACCGTACTGTCTATTGGAGCCATTAAAGCTATTATAACCAGTACCACTAGTTTTGCTTTTGTGAACGAGGGCCAGTTTTTGACTCCTGTCTGAAATTTACTTTTTTTTCCAGCTCCTTCTATTTATATCCTTGCTGCATCCATTTTTGTATTCTAATTCCTATGATCGATTAAGGATCTATCAGAGTAAAAGGTTAGCTTTTTCTGTAATCCTTAATTGCACTGGAGAATTTTGAGTAGGTTATCTTGATACACTCCTTGTTTAACATTGTCTCTAAGTATTTCTTGTCCTCAATCTCCTATTAATACTTGTTCCATTTTTTCAATTTGATTATTTGTCAG